TTCTGAGATTTCCAACACTCCCCCTCAAGCTGGCGTGTAGATATTTATCAATCCTAGCTTGCCAATAAAATCTTCAAACATGTTCTTACTCAGACCTTTAGTTAGCAAGTCTGCAACTTGTTGCTTAGTTGGAAGATAGATGATACAAACTTCTCCTGAATTTACCTTCTCTTTGATGAAATGACGATCTATCTCCACTTGTTTAGTACGATCGTGATGAACTGAGTTATGTGCTATACTGACATCATCTTGATTATACCTTTATAGGTTTAACATAGGATACTTTAAGTTCATTAATCTTTGTAACCAAATTCCCTCACATATACCATGAGATAGCTCGATATTCTGTCTCTGCACTGCTACGAGCCACAACAGACTATTTTTTACTTCTCCATGTCACAAGATTGCCCAACACATAGCTATAAGAACCACTTGTAGATAGTCTTTCACTCACTGATCTTGCCCAATCTGCATCAGTGTAAAGTTCTTTGTCACGACTGGTGTTTTTCTTGAAATGTAGACCTTTTCCCCGTGTTCTCTTCAAATACCTTAGCATCCTGTAAACTGTCTGATGACGCTCGCACCAAATGCAATATCAGGTCGGGTGTGAGATAGATAAATAAGTTTTCCCACAAGTCGCTAGTATCTCCCCCTGTCTACTTCCTCATCATCATCATTGCCTAGCTTAGAATTGAACTCCATTGGGGTCTCGGCAGGTTTACAACGTAACATGCCAGTTTCAGCCAATAAATCAAGAACGTACTTTCGTTGGGAAATAGAAATGCTTGTCCTTGTCCGTGCTACTTCCAAGCCAAGGAAGTATTTGAGATTCCCGAAATCTTTAAGCTCAAAGTTTATGCTGAGGAAGTGTTTTAGTTTCATCAACTCACTCGAATCATCCCCTGTTAGAATAATATCAACATAGACAATAAGAATAGAGTATTTCCTACTTCCCGAATGTTTGTAAAATAGTGTATGATCTGCTTGCCCTTGGGTGTAATTCCTGCTGGTCATAGCCTTGGCAAACCGGCTGAACCAAGCTCTTGGGGACTATTTCAGTCCGTATAGTGACTTCTTTAATCTGCATACTCTCCCTTTTTCTTCTTCAAAACATGGTGGAAAGTCCATATATACCTCCTCGCTCAAGTCTCCGTTGAGGAATGTATTTTTTACATCAAGTTGTGTTAAGGGCCAATCAAGGTTGACAGCTAAGGAAAGGAACATTTGAACAGTATTAAGCTTTGCAACGGGGGCAAATGTCTCATCATAGTCGAGACCATAGGTTCGAGTAAAGCCTCTTGCCACAAGTCAGGCCTTGTGCCGATCAATACTCTCATCAAGCTTGATTTTTTAGGAGAAAATCCATTTACAACCCACAGTTTTCTTCCCTTCTGGCAGATTTGTAACTTCCCATGTCCCATTATTTTTTAGAGCATTCATTTCTTCAAAAACAACATTTCTCCATTCGGTTGATTTCAAAGCCTCTTTCACATTTATTGGAGTTTCTACACTATCAATATTAGTTACAAAAGTTTTGTAAGCTTTAGATAAATTTCCATAGGATACAAACTGAGAGATTGGATGCTGAGTACAAGTTATTGTGCCTTTACGAACAGCAATAGGAAGGTTCATATTCGACGAACCAAGAGATTGATCTGGAACTGGATAGTCCTCGGAGTTGGATGAATTTGGCACTGCTGCTATGTCATTTTTAGGAGGGAAATGTTCCCGAGAATAAATAATGATTTCTGGAGGCTGTAGCTGGGGTTTCTCAGAGGGATTAGGTTGCTGAAGCTTACTTCCAATGGGGATTTCATCGCTGGGAAGTTCATTTCTCTCCAGTGGAACACTCAAATCTGGTGTTATGAGGACAGGGTCATCCTTAGAATTTTGTGTGACAGTGGTGTTAAGGATAGGCTCAGGGGTTATAATAAGAAGAGTATGAAGTGTCTCATCTTCACTAAGAGTCTTTCCCTGAAGATGAGTGGAAGAAAAATATGGTTCGTTTTCAAAAAAGCATGACACCATGAGAGACAAATATGCGGTGCAAGGTGGGTGAGTAATATTTGTATCCTTTTTGTGTGGATGAGTAGCCAACAAAGACGCATATGTGTGCTCGGGGATCAAGTTTGGATTGATTAGGTTGGTGATTATGTACAAAGGCTTTACAACCAAATATATTGGCTGGTAGGATAAGAACACGAAATAGGGGGAAGTTTTTTTTGTAGGATATGTAAAGGAGTTTGGAGATTAAGAACTCTAGAGGGCATACGATTTATTAAATAACATGCAGTAAGGACAACCTCCCCCCATAGGTATTTTGGAACTTTCATGTAAGGCTCGAGCAATAGCTAGTAGGTGTCTATTTTTTCTTTCTGAGATCCCGTTTTGTTGAGGTGTGTCAGGACAAGAGTTTTGATGAATGATGCCTTGTTCATAGAGATAGGGGCTTAAAACATAATTGAAATACTCCCTTCCATTATCAGTGATGAGCATGTGTATGTTTTAGTCAAATTAGGTTCGGATCATGGAGTGGAAATTCTAGAATACTTTTGGTTTTTCTGTTTTTTCTTTTAGAAGGTAAACCTAACATACTCTAGTATAGTCATCAATAAAGGTTATGAACCATCTAGCACCAATGATATTTTTAACACGACTTGGCCCCCATAGGTCACTATAAATCAAGGAGAAAGGTTTGGATTGTTTATAAAGCTTCAAAGGATAAGGAACACATATATGTTTTGACAATTGACAGATTTCATATTTTAGGGAATTGATTTTTTTATTTCGAAATAACATAGGAAGCAAATGCTTCAAATACAATAAATTTGGATGTCCTAACCTACGATGCCACATCATGACAGTGTCCTCGTTTGAAGCAGAGAGAGCAAATACTCCTTTTTTATTCTTGTCCTTGTAGTCATCCCACATATAGAGTCCATCATCAACCTTAGCAGTGCTAATCATCCTTCCCGATTTATGTTCCTGTATAATACAACCATCAGCAGAAAATTCAGCACAAACAACCTTGTCTTCAGTAAGTTTACTTACTGACAGTAAAATGTAAGATAAACTAGGGACATAAAGAACTTTCTCGAGCAAGAAGTCCTTAGTGAGTCGAACAACTCCAATTCTAGCAATAGATGAGTATGAACCATCAACTATCCGAATTCGAGATTGGTTGTGGCAGGGGGCATACGTATGAAATAGTGATAAATTACATGTCATGTGATCAGATGCTCCCGAATCTAAAATCCAGGATGGATGATAACTAGATTCAGAAGTAATATTAAAAGCAATACCATGAACAACCAAGGAACCATGGCTTATTGGTGCACCAAGTAACTTTTGAAGAGTTTTAAGTTGGGACTTTGTTAGGCGAACATCCTGAACGGCTTCAGTAGGTACATGGGTCACAGTGGATGAGCTGCCCAAGGATAAAAGAGCCTTATTTTCCTTCTGAATAATTTTTGTTGTACCAGCATAACCATGGAGCTTGAAACATTTCTCCTTTGTGTGACCAATACGGTTACAGTAGCTACACCAAAGTCGATCCTTGAGCGACTTAGTTTTGAATCATTCCCTGCTCGATTCTTTTGAGATTGAGGGCCCCTTGAGACCAGGGCAGATGATTCAGTAGGATTATGACCATAATTGGTCACAGGTTTTGGTTCCTTGATATCTCCCATCATTACTCGGCGATGAGTTTCTTCTCTCCGAACCTCTGCAAATGCTTCTCCAATGGTTGGAAGAGGGGTCCTACACAGAATACAGCCACGAACTTCGTCCAAGTCTCAGTTCAGCCCTGCTAGGAACTCATAGAGTCGTTCTTTATTGAGATGTGACATGAACTTGGTGTGCTCCAAGTCTTCACCCCAATCCACTTCAGAGTACATATCGAGTTCCTCCCATAAGACTTTTAAGTTGTTGTAGTACTGTGTAACTTCAAGAGTTCCTTGCTGAATGTCTTTTAATTTTAGCTTGATTTCAAAAACTTAAGCATTTCCTAGATCAGAATAATTCTCCTTGACTGCATCCCATATTTCTTTTGCAGTCTTGAATAAGAGGTAGGTTCGGCTTATGTGACTCTCCATGGAGTTGATCAGCTAGGCTATGACAATAGAATTATTGAGTTCTCACGTAGGATCAGTAAGGGGAGGACGTGGAATTTCTCCACTGATATATCCTAGTTTCCCACGGCCTCAAATCACCATGAGTACTGATTGGGACCACTGTAAAAAGTTCTTCCCATCTAATCGGTGATTGGTGATTGTGAGGGACGAATTAACATCACTATGAGACAGTGCTTTATTGACATTCTGAGTTACTTGTGAAGTCTCAGAATCATAAATATTTACAATGTTTACCATGATAGAAAGACAAGACACGAGAAAAAACTAAAGAAGTAGAATGGATCAGAAATATCCCTACAGCTCTGATACCATGAACAGATTTGAGAAAATAATGATTATGTATTTCTCTAACAGCAGATTACAACTTTAAAGGAAGAATTAGTACAAAAAATATGAAAATATCTCTAAAAATTAAGAACAACAATTAAAGACATATTTACACTAGGTTAACTCCTAAAAGTAAGGAAGAAGATTCAGTCCTTTAATTCAAGGATTTTCAACATTTTTAGTTAAGGACTTGTTAGGTAGTTAAGCCACTGTGTATAGAAAGGCAGAATTCCTAACTCTTTTCATCTTAGCTAGTTAAGAAAAATACTGATTGAAACTGGAATCCCAGAAATGCATTCCAGTCTAGGACTGTCTGCATTACAATAGGGAAAATTAAAGGTACAATACTAATGCAATGGAAATAATGAGCCATGCAAGAAATATTTCTCCATAATAATCACAAATCTCAGCTGTGACAAAGTCATATGAATATGAACATCAACCAGTCTAACAATGAAGTGCACAGATCGAGCAAAATAATTAATTTGATTGTAAAAAAAAAAGATGTACAGAAAAAATATTGCACAAAGATACAAATACCTGAGCAACATCTATACTATCCTGATGAAATTGGCATATTTTCCCAAGAGCTGAAACAGCATTGTCATAAGCCATCATGTTGTCTGAATGCAAAGCATTAGGATGTCTAAAAACAACATTCAACCTGAAGAGGGCCTCTATAAGGAAGAAAATTAAAAAAAAAATATCCTTTTGTTAAAGTTAAGGAGACAACTACTTAAAGGAAAAAGGTAGTAATGCAAGTGTGCAGCAACCTTGAATAAGAGGTTTAAACACCGATCTACCAAACTCTACACATAAACCAACCCCCAAAATAACTGCCTGAAAAAATGAAGCACATATATTCTCAATAATCTAGACTGCCTGAAGCACAAGACAACTATCAATAATAAAATGACAAACCTGTCGAACATCAGGGCTTTCATCATTGCATGCCTCCAAAAGGAAAGGAAGATAAGTGTCATAATACCTGTCCACAACATTCAGCATAAATATCTACAAGGACTTCAAGAATTGGCATTCTGATGATAGTTAAGTATTGAAGTGCTTACTTAAGAGCTGCATCACGACAGTGCTCTGCAATATCATCAAATATACAGATGGCAATTCTCCTTTCTTCTATTGTTTTATCCTTACCCTGTATAATCAGTAAATTAATCAGTAAGGTAATAGGCTAACATCTCTGTTGATGCAGTAATAACTCTATCGTTTTCTTTCGAAGAAAAGATAGTAATAAATTGAGAGCATTAGTATACCACCAATTCACATACATGTAAATATGAAATATAATGACAGAAAACTCACCCACATAGGGGTTATGTAAGATGAAAGCTCCTGGAACAATGGCAAGAATGATGCTTTGAATGTTTTGATCAAAGTTCCCAACAATTCACCAACCTTGATTTAGAGAAGATACAAGGCAAACAAATATTAGAGCACTACAATCTAGTACCAAGATATATATATATATATATATCAGCTGATAAACAAGAATCCATTAGGAATATAAACATACTTGACCAAAAACTTCTTCTTCTTGCTCATTTTCCTCCTTAAGCATTTCGTCTTCTTCTGCATCAAAGTCCTCTGCTTTGGCCCTCTCTGCTCTTTCTTATTTTCTAGTTGAACTAGCAATGATTACCTATTTAATCTCATCAACAATGCATCTTATTTGGCCCTCATCAAGGAATGGTCCACAAATCTGTCAAAGAGAGAAAGAGGTCGTTATCATAAAATTCAACTTCCAAGAGGAGAGCGAAATAGAGTGGTCCATGAAAGATCTAAAATCAAAAGATTAGTATAATACCATCCACAGTATTTGAGTAAGCGACCATAAAAATCAAAAAGAGGAAATAAATCATGCCATCTTATTTGTTTTTTTTATAAGAATTGAAGGCCTCGTTATAAACCCCCTTCGTAATTAATGGAGCTTGGAGAAAGCTCCTTAATCATTGGAAGAAGGAAAAGAGCGCCTTAGGATTTTATTCAACAACATAAAATACATAAGAAACAACCAGGACCACACCCCCATCAAACCATAAACAACATAAAGCGCTCGAAACCCAAAGCAAACCAAAACTATAACAGAAACCTACGCAAAACCGACACAGCAGTACCCTAGATCAGAGGGTGAGTCCTGATTCCCAAACTACAATACTATTACAAAGGATCAACCACAACAAACCCATCGAAAAAGCACAAAACATTACAAGAATCCTGTTACACTTAACCGATCCCCTGCTTAGCTAACCTGTCAGCCTCCAAATTATAGCTCCTAGGAATCCATCTAAGAACGACCCCCTTAGCAGTAATAAGAGCTTCAATATCCTCCACCAGATCACTGAAAAATGAAGGGGCAGGTTGCAGCTTTAAAATCCAATCCACTGCACATTTGCAGTCGCTCTCAATAATAAGTCTTCCCTTCTTAGCCCAATTTGAAGAATAGAAAAAACCCAATCCTTCTTTAATAGCTTTCAGTTCAGTCAAAATAGGCAAACCAGACCCTATTGCAGAAGAGAAGGAAGCTAAAGAGCCACTGAAAGAGTCTTTCAAGACACCACCAATACCCCCTTGCATCCCATCGCCAGTCACTGCTCCATCAACATTGAGTTTAAACATATCCGCTGGAGGAGGAGACCAACCAATAACATTCTTAGGACCAGAAGTAATGAGAAAAGAATCTGCCCTCGTAGGATCCCCTACTAAAAGGTCTGTCTGAATCTGAACCGAAGGATGTTTAGCTAAGAACCATTTCGCCAATCTAAATCTAGTGATAAAATACAGAACTTAACTGTCACATTTTCCATTTTAAAAAATAACCAGATTTCTTGCCTTCCAGATTGACCAGAAAATAACAGTCGGAATAAACCTCCAAATGATAGAATTATGCCTAAGTTGTTCCTAGTCGTTTAGTTTTAGAGCTTTTGCTCTCCTTATCAACCAAAAAAAAAGAATATATGTTTAAACCACAATGAAAAAACAAACTTGTGCACTTGACAACACAAAAATCTAGAAAACATGGCTGATAATATCCCTAATTTAGCACTCAAGATGTTTTGAACTATTATTTTCCACTTCATGTGATGGTTATTACAACCATTCATGTAACAAAATTTTTTTCTTTTCATTTTTCTATTTCCTTTGCCTTTTTTTAAAAAACTCATTGTTTCAAAACCATCAATACCCAACACTTTTTTTTTGTTTAACCACGGTATCCAACCCATTGGCCGACTAATCCAAATTGAGTAATGCAGAGGTCAATTATGTAGACAACCCTCCCAACCCTGCTTGCTCCATTTACAATGACAAGATTCGAACCCTGGGCATTGTTTAAGGGATTTAATGTCTCATCCCACTAGACCAACTGGTTTAGCATGCACGGGGAACAACAAACATTAGGAATGGAGAAATTTCTAATAACTTCAAGAATCGGCTGGATGATTAATCATAGGTGTCATTAAAGTATTTAAGGAAAAAATTAACAGGCATGTATAAGATAATAGAGACTCATAGAAGAGGCATAGAATATAAAACAATTTTCAAATCATGATATCACCACAGGCACTACACCCATACCCGCCAAAGTCTTGCAAGCAGTTGAAGGTACAGTTGTAGAAACATAATTAATTCAAATGCGTTCATGATCACAAAAGAACAATTTCCATAAATACACCAAAAGTTTAGCAAAATAATTAATTCAAGGGCTTCTAATTGAGAGGCAGATAGTTTAGCAAAGGAAGGGATTGGGTGAATGTAATGTTTTGGTTTTCGGTTGTTTTATTCATTTTTGTAGTTTATGTTTTCTGGTGTAATTGTTAAGTCTTATGTAATGCTGCTTTATTAATAAATTAAGGCACTCTTTTCCTCCTTCCGGGAAAGGAATCACTATGAGGGAGGTTTTTAATGAGGCCTCATATTTCTATAAAAAAAATACACCAAAAGTTCCATATGAAAGCACAAAAAAACATGTATGCAAATTTGTAGCAGATGATGGATGATAACCTCTATGCAATCTTTCAAGGAATCCAACATGCTCCCACAAATTTCAACCTCAGGCTCCTGCAAGGAAATTAAAATTATATATAAACATTTATGCCATTTCCAGAACATAAAGTAGTAATCATGTGTAACATCTAAGGAAAAAATGACGACCCAAACAAAAATATGACCTTGTGTATAGCCTTCACCAAAGTTGGTACTATGTAATTTGTCAACTGTTTTATATACGTTCCATTTCAACCTTGAGATTGCCCTTTCTCAACAGCTAGTTTAGCTGAATGTAACAGCTCTGGCATGGCTAAAAAAGTAGATAGATACCGTTAATAATGCAGGTGAGGCAGTGCAGAAAAAGAACGTAAAAACAATGGGAGAAAAAGGACAGTCATACCTGAAACAGCTGCCTTCCTAACTTCTTCATGGAAATAAAATTTTAGAAGGGGAACTAAGGTAGTAGCCACCTACATTGTTTCAAGCAGGTTCATAACCCACAACTTAGACTTCTAATGCAAAGTCTAAAATAGAAAATGCCAAAAAATAAAAATAACTTGATCAATCCATGGGAAGAATCCTTCCTTTAACTCATCAGCGTAACAACATAACATGTTGCAAGTTGTAGCTTTTTCTTCCAAGACACTAGTTTTGATCCCTATCCTTTTATCACCAAGAGTAATAGTCTCAATGCTGCAGCCAACAGAAAAAGCAATAAACAAACACCGTAAACACTTTTAAAACTCAAAAGAAACACTTTAGTAATGGAACTTTAAAAGATATCGTAGGAGTTCAAGAAGAAATGAAGTGCATTTAACTAAGACATCTTGAAATTACTTTTGATATCCAAGAATGAGATTTTCTAAGTGCTCATAAAGGCAAACTGCACAGTTATATTACTGATAAATGACAAGGAAAAGTTTTTGATAAGAAATAGGAGATCTCCTTAAAAACCTCCTACTTAGTAGTCCTTTACCGTAAGGCAAGAACCTACTAGCTGTAGGAGGAAAAGAGTACCTCAATTCATTAATGAAAAACCAATTACATAAGACTTCAAAAGAAGCTCCTACATAATACATAAAACATAACACACTCCTCTATCACCTTGTCTGTAAAACAAACCAACCAACTAAAACAGATTACACCATCACCCAATCCCCTCCTTTGCTAGTTTATCAGCCTCAATATCACAACCTTATGTGCATAGGAGAAATAAATATAACTTTAAATTTTGGATTAACAAACTTATGTGCAAATAACATAGGAGAAATGAGCACAAACACATAAAAAGACATTCAAACCAAGGCACTAAATTCAACAGTTAAGATCATATGAAACGAATTGCAAACCTTTCGTCATCTTCATCATCAATATTAGCATCATAATCTGCAGATGTAATTGTTAAATCAGGCTTAAGCTGGGCAGATTGAAGCTAGAGGGGGCATGACAATACTCATGTAAGGAAGAAAAAAAATTAAGGACCAGCAAGAAAAGCAATCAATACACAGAAAGTACAAAATCTCATTCAATTATCAAAATAGTTTCTTTACTTATCAGAACATACCTGTAACATGGCTTGTTGTTGGATCATCCGGTTCCATTTGAGATCCTTGCAGTGACATCAAGACTTCCATAACCTTGCAGTATAAAAGGAAATAGTTGAATGGCTCATAACCAAAATCGGAAAAGGAAAAAGCCCATTGAGTGTTAGAAACTGCTTTTAGTTTTGATCTGACAGTTTACTGAAAATATGTCCAACCAAAATTTTTAACAGCATATTAAAGTATAATATGTGAAATGACCATCCATCTCAGTTGGTAAAGCACAAGGTTTTTAACCTTGAGGTCGTGGGATCGTACTATCTTACTTCCCCTTACCCCATTACATATGGGAACAAGGGACATCCATTTTATTAAAGTATAATATGTAGATTCTAAAACCCTAATTTCCAGTATTTGGAAGACTAAAAAAGAGTTTTTTTTAATAGAAGATTAGGCCTCATTAAAACCCCTTTATAACCTACATGTTACATTAGTAACATGAAGAACATAGGAAGGAGGAAAAGAGTGCCTCTGAATTTTATTAATCTGAAAAATAATACACATCCAGTCCCTAACCACTAACTGCTTACAACATAACACTGATTACATAACACTTAAACCAAAACACCCTTCAGAAATACAAACAAAACACAGCACCTTAAGAACCGCAACACATAACCTATTAATCAACCTATACCAGCTTTAGCTAACTCATCCGCTTCCCAATTAGCAGCTCTTAGAATATGCCTTGTAATAATACCTTGTTATTCCACATGAGTAGCTATATCTCTCACCAAGGACTGAAACAAAGGGGTACCTAAATCCGAATTTTTAATCTACTTCAAAGCACTAGTAGAATCTGATTCTAGGATAATCCTCTGACTTGGAATAGATCATGCTTTTTCAATAAAAATCGACCCTCTTTTGATAGCCAATAGCTCTACAAGTATAGGAGGACCGCCCCCAACCTTCTCTGAAAATGAACCAAGCACAATACCTCTACAATCACTAATCAGTCCACCTATTCCTCCTTTATCCCATCCCTTAGCCATCGCACCATCTACATAAAGTTTTATGAACCTTCCGGAGGAGGTACCCACCTAGATGAAGGAGAACACCCCTTTTTTCTGTCTTCCTGCTAAATCTGCTAATTTTATATCCCCCACTAAGGAGTCGAAAGGAATATGAACATCCTTAAATCTAGCTCCAAACCAAGAAGCAATTCTAAATTGAGCAAGAAAGAACCACCTTCCCTTTTTGGAAAATTATCTCATTCCTACACTTCCAAACCGACCACAACACCACCCTTGGAATGAATTTCCAATTTGTGGAGCTCGGAACTAAGTCATCCCACAAAATTATAAAATCAATCAAATTACCACAAAAGAAACATTCCAGTAATTCAAGAATCTATACCAAAAATCCCATACCACCTCACAGTGCAAAAACAGATGTGAAGCTGACTCCTCACACTTCCCACACATCGGACATAAAGGGTCATCAATCTCAGCCACTCCTTTCATCAACAGTTCCTCTTAAACAGCCACTCTCTGATGTGCAAGTTGCCAAAAAAAAGTTTCCACTCGGGGTGGTGCTACCCCTGCCCATACATGTCTTTCCCAAGTACCATCCTTCCCGTCATTACCATCCCGATCAAAAAAATTCTTGATGCATGATTTAGCTGAAAAACAACCCTCTCCATTCCCTAACCATATCCAACAGTCTTCCTCTAATAATGACAAAGTGGTACTATTTAACAAGGAAATAAGCTGCAACCATTGCTCAACCTCCCAATCCACCAAGTTTCTTCTCACTTGAATATCCCACACCCATCCCGAAGCATTATTCAGCCTGAACTCTGCAACCTTACCCCCTTTATTGTTCGAAAGAGCAAAAAGCCTCGGAAACCGATCTTTAAGAGGAACCAGACCCAGCCATACATCATGCCAAAACTCCACTGATTCTCCATTTCCAGCTCTCAAACAAATATTTTTCCTGAGACAATCCCCAAATTCATCACTAGAAAAGTTCTTAACGACTCATCTCCAAATCCAAGAAACACGTGCTGTCTAAGTATTCCCAATCATCATAGAATTCAGATCCAAGTTGTACACACAACACACAACTTTTTTCCACCAATAACTCTTTTTTGAAGCAAATTTTCATACCCATTTCCCCAGAAGAGCCTTGTTCAAGAGAAACAAATTCGAAATCCCTAAACCCCCTAACCTCTTTGGCTTACACACCAACTTCCAATTCACCCAATGAATGTTCCTTTTTTCTGTCGAAACCTCCCCATAGAAAAGATGCCATGATAGAGTTTAATTTGTTGAACACACTAATTAGGATCCGAAAAATAGAAAGGAAGTAAATGGGAAGAGATCACAACACAGATTTCACCAAAATTTCTCTTCCAGCCAACGATAAAGACTTAGCCTTCCATCCAGCCAAACTGTTATAGAATTTCTGTACAACCGACTCTCACAAGGCAAACGAGTTCTTCTTGGCCCCCAACGATAAACCTAAGTACTCTGATGGAAAAAATCCCATTGAACAACCAATTTCCTTAGCCCAAGAAGCTAACACCTCCTCCTCAACATTAATTCCAAATATTCTGTTCTTAGCTAGATTTAACTTCAATCCCACCAACAATTCAAAATTTAATAGCACCCTTCTAACATTCAGCAAATCACGAATAGTTGCCTTGCTAAAAATTATAAGATCATCTGTAAATTGCAAAAATGATATCATGAAGGAACGTTGATGAGTACCTAGCTTGAAACCGGAAAATAGCCCCTTGTCCACTGCTTTAACCAACAACAAGTGCAACAACTCACCTCCCAAATTAAACAACATAGGAGATAGCGAACAACCCTGTCTTAATCCTCTTGTAGTTTGAATTTTCTCCGTAGGTATCCCGTTCACTAAAATCGAAATGGAAGCAGTTAACACACATTTCTTTTAGGAATAGGAGGTCTCATTAAAAACCTCCCTCATAGTTTTCTCTTGTGAAAGGCAATTAGCGGAAGGAGGAAAAGAGTACCTCATTATATTAATAAACCATGATTACATAAGATTACAGCTTACTAAATAAACTGTCCGAAATATAATACAAACCAAAACAACCATAAAGCTCAAACATCAACCAATACCCTCTTTAGCTAGCTTATCAGCCTCCCAATTGCATGTCCTAGGAATCCATCTAACAATAATACCCCTACCAGAAACTAAGCCCCCAATTTCCCCAACTAAAATATTGGAAAAAGTAGGGGCAAAAAATGGCAACAAAATCCAATCAACTGCTGTTTTACAATCTGTCTCAAGGATTGGTCTTCCCTTCAAACCCCATTCGCAAGAAATGAATAGATCAATCCCTTGTTTAATAGCTTTCAGCTCAACTAACATAGGAGGACCAGGTCCCACCGAAAAAGAAAAAGTATATAAAGTAGAACATTCTGAATCTTTCAAGACTCCTCCAATACCTCCCTGCAACCCATCACCTCTTACAGCTCCATCAACATTGAATTTAAAGAAATCCGAAGGAGGCGGAGACCAGTAAAGAACCTTCTTCTTATTGTAGGATTTTATAGGCAAATTGTCTGCAAGCGATGAATCCCCTACTAGTAAGTCAACCTGAATATTAACATGAGGAAATTTCGCTAAAAACCATTTAGCCAACCTAAACTTGGAAATGAAGAATATGGATGAATTATCTAATGTCCAATTTTCAAAAACCACTACATTCCTAGCTTTCCAAATAGACCATAAAAAAAAACCTAGAATGAACTTCCAAATATTAGAACACTCCCTTAGATAAGACCAAGAGTAAAGAAAGGAAGGAGGATCTTGGGGCATGACCGAAGAGATATCCCAAAACCTTAAAAATCTATACCACAACTCCTCTGCAACCGAGCATGAAAAAAACAGATGATGAATTGATTCCTCATATTTTTGGCAAAAAGGGCACAAAACATCTTCAGGATTGACCTCTCTTTTCTTCAATTCCACTCTGACCGTCAATTTCTGATGAGTAAACTACCATAGAAATGTTTCTACTCGAGGAGGAGTTAATCCAGACCACACCCATTTCTTCCATTGAAAATGTCCTCCAGTTCTACTTGAGATAGTCATTCTACAAGATTTTACCGAGAACAAACCATTCCCTTTCCCCGACCACCCCAGAAAATCAGCCACTGATTCATTCGGTGTTATGTTGTTAATCAAAAGCATTAAGGAAAGCCACTGATCCAATTCCCAATCACAAAGATTTCTCCTTAGCTGAATGTTCCAAACCCAACCATTAGCTACAAATCCACCAAATTCAACCAATTTTCCCCTTTTGTTAGTCGACAGAGCAAAGATTCTAGGAAATTGAATCTTAAGAGTAGATCCATTAACCCAAATATCATTCCAAAAATCAATTGACCTATCATTCCCCACTTGGATATTCGAATTAGATCTCAAGCAATCCCCAATCTCATCCTTTTTCTCATAGTTACTCCGAATACCTCTCCAAACCCATGAATCTTGAAGAGAAACAGCCTTGCCTATAGACAGAGACTCTATACTGACATTATGAATACAACAAATCAGTTTTTTCCATTGAGAGTCTTTGTCATTTGCATACTTCCAAACCCATTTCCATAGCAAAACTCTATTAATCATACTCAAGTCCAATACTCCTAAGCCTCCTTCTTCCAATGGTTGACAAACCGTACTCCAATTCACCCAATTAACCCTCTTCTTGTCAAATTCTTCACCCCAAAGAAATCTTGCCAATACTGAGTTAATTTTCTGATTGACCTTAAACAGAATTTTAAAAATAGAGAGGTAAAAAATAGGTAAGGAGGATAATACCGATTTTATCAACACCAATCTTCCAGCCAACGATAAAGAAGCAGCTTTCCAACCTGCTAATCTGATGAAAACTTTCTGTAAAACTGGTTCCCACAATAACTCTGAATTTTTCTTTGTTCCTATCGGAAGACCTAGATAAGTCATAGGAAAAGATCCCACCCCACAACCTGCTTCCAGTGCTAAATCTTTCAATCTGTCCTCTGCCACGTTAACACCAAACAATTTACTCTTGGATAGATTAAGATGAAGCCCTGAAATTAAACTGAATACCCTCAATACTCTCTTTAAATTTAGAATTTGAGTTGAGGAATCTCTTCAAAATAAGATTAAGTCGTCTGTAAACTGCAGATGAGTCAACTTAAAAAGATTCTCTTCAATACCAATATTGAATCCTTCAAAAAGACCAAGGGCAGTAGCCTTACTCAACATTAAGTTCAATAGCTCACCAACAATATTAAAAAGAAGAGGAGATAGACTACAACCTTGTCTCAGCCCTTTGCCCATCTGAAATTCTTGAGTAGGGGAACCATTAATTAGGACTGAAAATGAAGCAGAAGAAATATAGTAATCCATCCAAGAAATCCATTTGTCTCCAAAACCCATTATCTTCAATAACCTCAATATAATTGGCCATTCCACTGAATCAAAGGCTCTGCGAAAATCTACTTTAAAAATAACTCTTTTCCTTCCTTTCTTCCTTCAGTAATCTATAGATTCATTTTCCATAAAAGCGCAATCAATGAGCTGCCTACCCAGAATAAAGGCGAACTGTAATGGGCTGATCAAAACTTTAATAACAGAAACCAATCTCCTCGATAAGATTCTAGAGATAATTTTGTACAAACTTCCAACAAGACTAATTGGTCTATAATCTTCAATAACTTCAGGGTTGAGTTTTTTAGGAATCAAAGTAATGAAAGCATGGTTGACCCCATGCTCCCAACTCATCCCTCTGTGAAAGTCATCCAAAAACTTCATTAAATGATCCTTCAAAATAGGCCAGAAGTTTTTAAAGAAACCCATCGTGAAGCCGTCTGGACCCGGGGCTTTGGAGCTGTCCGAGTGAAACACTACTTCCCTAACTTCTTGTTCTGAAAACTGTACCTCTAGTCCATTTTTCTGCTCCTCTGATAATGTCATGAAATAGAGATTAATGACCTCTACCTCCAGCGTATTTTTAGAGTTGTAGTTCTCCTTAAAATACTCAAAGACAAATTTTTTCAGCTTCTCCGGATCAGAAATTTCTTCATCAGCCACTCTCAGGGCCAAAATTGAATTCATTCTATTTCTATTTAATGCTATTAAATGGGAAAACTTTGTATTCCTATCCCCATCCTTGATCCACTTCAATCTTGATCTTTGTAACCAAATACTCTCTTCCCTCCTATGCAACTTCCATAATTCATTCCTGGACAGAATCAACAAATCCCTTTCTTGAATGGAAATCCCTCCTTCTTGCAATTTGAATTCCAAATCATTAATCAAGTTTTCTAGTTGAGAATTTTTTTTCAGAAATCCCCTTTTGAGTCAAAAAAGGCATATCCCTGATCTTCTGCTTTGTTCCTCGAAGTAAAGAAAATAGACCCCATCGACCATTCGCCTTCTTCACCGTAGACAATGAATTTTCAAACAACTCAACAAACCCGTCTTCCTTTAACAAATAGTTATATAATCGAAAAGGTTTTGGTCCCCAATAGTTAACACATATTGATAAATCCAAGAACGCCATTTATCTCTAAACCCCATTTTACTCATTATTTTCATCAAAATCACCCAATCCACCGAATCATAAGCTCTCTTAAAGTCCACCTTAAAAACTACCCCTTTCAATCCTTTTTTCTCAAAAAATCAATACTTTCATTTGCAATAAACGGGTAATCCATAATATGTCTCCCCGATATAAATGCAAATTATGACGGACTTATAACGTCATTAATGCACAAGCTCAACCTTCTAGCTAAGACCTTTGAAAGAATTTTATAAAACCCTCCAAAGAGGCTATTTGGCCTAAAATATTTTAGCCCCTCCGAATTAACCCTCTTAGGTATAAGAGAAATAAAAGAATGATTCACCTCCATGTCCCATTCCTTCCCCTCATAAAACTCCTTAAAAAATAGCACCATAACTTCTTTCAGACTTGGCCAGAATTTCTTAAAAAACCCTAAATTCAGTCCATCAGGTCAAGGTGCTTTGTTCCTATCCGAATTAGCAATTGCTTTCCAAATTTCCTCTTTAATAAATGGCTTCACAAGGGCCATACTTTTCTCTTTCGAAAGTTTTAAAAACTCCAAATCCAATTCCTCAACCTCCAATGTATTTTTTTGGTTAAACAGTCCTTTAAAGAACTCCACAACCGAAGCTTTAATTAAACTAGTATTAGAAGTGACTTTATTGTCCACTTTGAGGGATTTAATACATTTTCTCCTTCCTCTACCTCCAGCACATTGATGAAAGAATCTTGTGTTCTTGTCTCCTTCCAAACTCCACTTCAATCTTGACTTTTGTAACCAAATCGATTATTCTTTCTTATAAAGGTCCCATAGTTCTTTTTTTGCTTCCACTAATTATTTTATAGACACCATGGGAAGGCCTTGTTGCATATTTAATTCTATCTCTTGAATTTCTTTCTCCAACCTACTAATTTTTTCGGGAAGCTCTAGGTAACCCTTCCTTGACCATCTCTTCGTTGCTTCCTTCACCCCTTTTAGTACACTGGAGATTGATTTTTTCTTCTCTAATTTACATAAATTAACCAACTCCTCCATCATCTCACCAAACCAATCCTCCTCCATGACATTGTTAAACATCTTGATCGGTTTAGGACCCCAATTCCATCCCCTATTTTCCAGCAAAATCATATTATGATCTGAAATAGACCTTGCTTGCAGGATTTGGCTTATCATGGGAAATAATGATAAAAATCTATGATCCACTAGAAAACGATCCAATCTCACAAAAGTTGGAGCTTCCCTATTGTTACACCATGTAATTCGACCTCCAGACAAAGGCAAATATACCAAGTTAGCTTTACTCACAAAGTCTCTGAACACATTCATTGAAACCGAATTCACAGCACCTCCAACCTTCTCTTCCTGTGACAGAACAACATTGAAGTCCCCTCCAAGACAAACTGGACAATCTACATTCTCCAAAAAGGATAACAACTCCTCAAAAAACAGCTCCTTTTCTAAATTCACACTTGGACCATACACATTTATGAACCAACAAGTCCCTAATAACTCTTCCATAATTCCTTTTACTGCCACAAATTTCCTATGAATGACCTCTTCCTGAACATCAAACTCCTTTTCATTCCATAATGTAATTAATCCTCCAGCAGAACCTTCAGCTGATGATACTGCCGAACCAGTCAAAATTTTCCTCCCATTTTCCTCACTAACGAATGACTCACAACTTCAATTTTTGATTCTTGAATAAATAAAATTAAAGGATTCTTCTCATCAACAAACCTACTTACAACTCTAGCTTTTACCCTCTTACCTAAACCCCTAACATTCCAAGACATTAATTTCCAATTGATCATCTATAACAATCGAAAACCTTGTAAGCCTATACCCCTTAACTTCCCCCATGTAATTCTCTCTCCTTAACAAACGAAATTGCTCTGTTCATGAATGCTTTTTTCCCCTCTAAATGTAACCCCCAACAATTTACTTATATTCCAGCACTCGAGTGCCTCTACCCCTCCCTCAGCCTCATTTGTATAGACATAATCTGAACTTGTACCAACACAGCTCTTAACTCCCCCTATCCTTGATCTCGAATAAACACGATTATAAAAGCCTCTTTCCGCTTTACTAACGGACACACTCTTTCCAGAATTTGTGTTGAGATGACTATACAGGCCCAAACTGCAGGGGAGCCCGAAAATGCTCAACAATATTGTTTGCTATAGAAATATGATAATCCTTACTTAGTCTCACACCCTCTTGATCCAGCCCACTTATCACATTCCTTTCCAGGCCTCTCTACAGCCCATTATCCCAGTCAACTTTGTCATGCCCAAAGGAAGCATCTCCCATACTCTTCCCATCTTCTCTCCCTTCATTAAATTCTTTTGACTTATCCTGCGGAATGGGGACATCTCCTGCAGGTGTCATTTCCTTACACAAGTCAATCGAAAAAGTATTTTTTGAACCTATGTTAAAATTTAAACCCCCTCGATGTCTATGTTTTTGCTTTGTTGGAAACCTCGAACCTATTCCTCTACCCTATTTTGGGAATCTGACACCACATGTAAACCCACCTGCCCTTCCTGCCGAACCTGAACATCCTCTTGGCTCCAGTCCTGAGAGTTCTCTTCCCATAGATCCTCTGAAACATCTTCTTCAGCCATATCTGTTAGCACAGGGAAAAAGTCCTCAAAACATTCAACCTTAATTTTGATCATGAACTTCCTCCCATACGTATTAATGATGATATGTTCTGGAATATCGAATGGACTCTCGACCCTGAGAAGCATATGCGCCACTCTACAGTCCACTCTTTGGGCAGTTTCCTCTTGAATCTTCACTAACTTACCCCATCTGGATTCCAAACTGGTAAAGAAAGGGACCGACCAACAGTTTAATGGAACTCCTATCATGGAGATTGCACAATAAGCAAAGGGGATACTCCCATCATCCGAAACAGGCTCCAATCTTTCAAACCAGAAAGACAAAGCTTCTCACTTTTCTTCCATCGCAATCGTTCTCTCCTCTACTGACTGGAAAACTACCAGACAAGCATTCTTTGCAAAGCCCCACCTTACCACCTTAGCTTTGAAACCCTCATTCCATATGGCTTTCTGCACAAAGTCCACTTCAAAAATCGCCTTGTAAATACCAGTAAGGGATGATCTCAACCATACCCTTTCCTCCACCGGAATAAAGACTTCCATAGGTTTTTTCACCTCCTTATTTTTATGACTACCCTCTTGAACACCCTCTGGATCTTTATTCACCCCAAATATCGTATCTTTATAAGTCCTTCCATCGAGAAACCTATTCATCAACTCCATCTTCCCTACCACTTCAACTGGAGAAGACGGTCTTCTAACCTTCAACCCTCCTGTTTCAACACTATTTGAGCCCTCACCTCTATCACCTTTCCGACTCCTCGTCCCAGTTATCTTATCATATTTAGCTATTATCACAAATATTCTCCTCCCATCGACCATGACATTATTCATCTTCTGTATTGCATTGCACATATCCTCCTTGCTTGCAAAATGAACAAACGCAAATGTACTAACCTTATATTTCGGTCTCTTGTTAATAAATGGTATGAACACCCTAATGACTTTACCATTGAAATTACCTGTTCTAGATTTTTCATCATCACCTGCCAACAAAAAAGACACATGCAAAACCCGTTTATAAATAATGAAGCACATTACAATTTAATCAACATCAGCCCCATTGGTTAAGGGACATAGAGATAAAGAAATTCTTTATCAAGATAACCGCAGAACCCATATTAATCCAAATCCACTCAAATTATAAATACCATGTCTAGAATGAACAAAACATAAAAAACATTAAGCCCTCTAATGAAGTCTTATCATTATTAAATAGGTAGCAAGAAGCGATATACAAGACCCAAAGAGAATAAACATACATCGCACGTTAAATATGATCAAACTATTAACTTGGAACTTCACAATTCAAACCTTGGAACAACCCTCAGCAATTTGAGCGAGTGCAATGAGAGCAGCATGTCTCTTCTGCCACTCCGGAGCAGACAAGAATGTTGGAAACAACTCTGAAGCCACTGGGACAACCGTATTCCCTCTTAATGAAATCGCCAATCTATCCAAACACTCCTGACCAACTTCATAATTACTTGTTTCCCCATCATCCCCATCCTCAGTCTCTGCGTTATGCCAATCCGGTTAATCAGCAATATCCACCAACAGATTCATCAACATCATAAATAACCTCTTTATAAACTGCGGTAACTTCCTCATCATCCCTGGAGCCCTCTCTCTCGCCTCTACCAACGTAATAATAAACTCAATCGCCAAATGGCGTGTTCCTTCTTCTAAACTGTCCGCCTCCGCAATTTGCAACATCGATCCTACTACTTCAACTATCTGCCTCCTTAGAAACCTGGGCTCAGTCCCGGCTAACTCAATTAATAACTCCAAAGCCTCTTGAGCCGTGGCTTCTAATCCAGAGTTCAAAGCTTCGGTCAACGTCTGCATCATCAACGACAACATATCTTGGAAAGTGTCCCGATCTTTGGCATTTGAAATGCATTGAATAAATCTGGCTGAAGCGCTTAAAGCTGCAATCCGGACGTTACAACTTGGCGGATTCAATAAAGAATTGAAGAAAACACAATGGAGGGTGTTTAAATGAGGGATTAGGGTTTGCATCGTTTCTCCAACATTTTGAGCTAATCGAGAGAAGATCAAAAGAGCAGATTCTTCAAGATTCGAATTCTTTGAATTCACGTATTGGAAGAGGAATGGCAATAGTTCCGGCCAGCCTCCAATAGAAACGATGGAAGAAGCGAGTTCAAAAATTGTATCACAGAGTTTCTTCACGTTAGCTCTCGATTGTTCGGTTTGGAGAGATGATAAAAGCACGATTTTATGGCGGCGCGTGTGGATTCAGCTAGGAGAGGAGGAGAGGAAATAGAAACGAGTAATCCGCGATGGGAGTTAGGATTTTTCGGAGGAGGACGGCGGAGAGGGTGCAGAGTTCGGGGCTCGACGAGGAGGATAAAACACGGAAGAGGGATAGGGAAAAGGCGTCAGGGTGAGTCTGTTTGGTGAGTTGAAAGAGGGACTCGGCCTGGGAATGCTGGTCGTTGGGGGGAGATTAGGGTTTCGAAGTGGGTGAGATCGGGGCCTAAGATGCTGGCGAGGTGGAGGTGAGTTTGATCGGTGGCCATGGTGTCAAGTTTTAGGGGTTTAGGGTCATAGGTGTAAATTCCTCTCTTTTTTATTTTGCCTCCTAAATCTCAATGTGCCAAAGAAAAAATAAGGGTAAACTATGCCAATGGTCACTTACATTTGGAAAAGTTTTCATTTTCATCATTGATGTTTAAACTCATAATCTTAAAGGATAATAAAAAATCGCTCAACTTAGATCACTTGGTCCATACCCACATATATTATTTAATTATGGTTTTTACTGTTTTTTCTCATTGTCTTGCCGCCTCACTTCATTCTCCATTTCTTATCTTCCACATTTATTTCATTTTTAATTATCTTTTACGTCTCTTCCATTTTCATTTTATATCCTGCCTTTATTTCTTATCTGAGTAACTCGTGGCTGTTGTCTTAGTTTACTGATTGTTGATTATGTGTGATTTGTAGGAAATAATTGGTACTTTTGTTTGGATTTTTGGAAAATTAAATATGTTTCGATATTGAAAAATTAGTTTTTTAAAATATAAATTTAGATTTGAGGTCGATACAAGGATAATTATACATATCTGACTCTGAATTAAGATTGAGACAGATAAGACATTAAAAATATCTAAGATGAAGTCTTTATTCTTATTTCTTATAATGAAATCATGTGACCAATAATATTATCGGTCTTGTCTTGTTGTTATCCTAAAAAATCATTATTATATTTTCAAAATTTTTAAGATCAAATTTCTTTGATTTGTCATCCTTCGTCTCTAATTATATTTAATATATTAATAATATATTTATTTATTTATTTTTATAGAAGATAACTTATAAGTTTATATATGTTATTCCCTTCTTAATGTCATTTATTAATAAATTAAAATAATTAAATATTTTATTTTTATACTTTATTTTATGATGTTTTAACAAAATTTAATGAATAATTCATTATCAATATATAAATTCATGTTTGCTACATCGAAGCCTATACTTATAACATCTTATCATTAGCGCCAATGTCTAAATTAAACAAAGATATAATATTAAAATTAATCCTCAATCTTTATTAAAATATTCATTTTGATTTTTTTTGAAGTATTTTAGTTTCAATATTTTATTTTAGGGCCAAAAATACCTCTATTGATAGAAACATTTAGTTAACAAACGGCTAACACTCTAAAATAAAAAAAAA